TAAATTTGACCCTTAAATCTATTGTTTCTTACTTTAAAAGCCAACATTTTATTAAATGTTTTGGTTGAAAGATGCTTGTGCTTGTGCTAGTTTTTCTATATACAGTAATATATGCAACTTGGCATCTAGTGCAACAGCAATCAAGCACTTTTAAGTGTGGCTTTACTACTGATTCTTTTCTCTTTTCCACCAGTAACGTCTGTTTTTTTTCTTTTTCAGACTCGGTGGCTGAAGGTCTGGCTATCGCAGCCTGTGTCGCTTTCATTCTGTGCCTCCCGCTCATACTGATGCTGGTTTACAGACAGAGACAAACAGTAGAGCGACACAGACGTGAGTACACACATACACACACACACACACACACCCAACACGTACACTTAGCCATGCATTGCTCACACACTTACTCTGACCTATATTGTATGTGAGAGAACGCTGCACATGTCCTGCACTGCAGAGACTGCTGATGAGAGTACAGTAGCTGCACTAATTGTTTTAACAAGACTGCATTTCCTTTCTCACCATGAACCATTTCCTGTTCCTGTTTTTATCAGGTGCACACGAGCTGGTGCGTATGGACAGGTGAGTTTCCACAGTGATACTTAGACTAAACAAGGGATATTTGAATGAATCTCACAAAAACATACAAATTGAATTTCGACTTTAAATAATATAAATAAATATAGAACAAAGCTGTTTAAAACTAATAAATCCTGTTTTGTGACATAATTTTTATGATAATAAACTACATCTTCCTTCTAAGTTCCCATTACCAAAATGCATCCAGATTATTTTTTGAATTTTCATTATTCTATATGTTGATTCTCATTGAATAAAATAAATAATTACTGTAAAAAAAGCATGACTTAGGGACAGTACAACAACTACTGTAATTTACTTTTTTTTTTTTTTTTACAATTATAAGGATTTGTTTACAGGAAAAAATTATTAAAATGTACTTAATGTTAATGAATTTCACAATGCAAAAATAGCATTAGTCCTAAAATTAGGATAAATATTATATATATATATATGTTTTATTTTATGCACAATATTATTTATTATTAGCAACTTTTGATTTTGGGATGATATTTATAAAATTTATAATCTCACTCTCTCTCTAGTGAAGCACAGGCCCATGAGAACCCAGTGTTTTTGGGCGATTCTCCACTGCCTAAACCCCGGACTGTATCCCAAATAATGAGGCAGTCTTCTGAAACAGGACGCCACCTCCTGTCGGATCCCGGAACTCCATTCTCTCCAAACATACAAGGAGAATTTTTCTTCCCAGCACAGGGTATGACTCACACACGCACACACACACATATACGCACACACGCATGCACGCGCACGCACACACACACACACACACACACACACACACACACAACTGTAATCCAACTCCAGCTAGATTGCTAAAGCTTGTCACTGCTATTCAGGCGACAAGAAACACCTGGGGAAGCTCTACACACACACAGGTACACACACAATAATGGTACATACACAATTTTAAACAAATGTTCAGACATCAGACAGATATTTTTTTCTTCCTCATGGTAGGCGCAGGATGTACCCACAGTTTCTATTAAAAATTAACACGCATGCAAATCTGCACACAATCAAACAAAACCCAGAGTCTCGTGTGTAGGCGAACGCTATGAGGTCCAGCTCAGTCTCTACACATACACAGACAAACGCCTCCTCTACTTTAACCTTTAACTCAGCGGAATCTACAGAATGTCAATTTCCCCTTTTCTCCCTCATTTCACAACACTCATTTCTGCTTCTCTGACGGCAAACTGGATTCTGAGAAACCGAGAACGTGTGAGTGCATGCGTGCCTACTTTCATGTGTGTTTCTTCATTATACATGACCTATTGGCACATACACAGACAGATCTGTATTCCCACACAGACACGTTAATGTCAATGTTAAACAAGCTTGCAAACCATTTTACCTACTTAATGTGACTTATACTGAAGCAAAACAAGATTATCACTGATAAAATATAGGGTGGGACTTAACCTTTAGTAACTGATTGGATCATAAAAAATGGGCAGTCAGCTGAAAAGGAAAGTTGTAACCAACCAAGTTATTGTATTTTTTTTATATAAAAAAGTAAAGTTTTCATAATGAAAAAAATTATACGATTTGAAAAGATGTAAGATTTGTTTTGAATTGCGACAATATGATAATAAAGTACATTTTTCATCGAAATGCATCCAAGATTATGTACAATATTTATTTACCAATTTTCATAATTCTAAATGTTATTTATGATTAAGATTATGATTTTGATAATGAGAATTTGGGGTGAAATGTTCTTAATAAGCCCATAAATATGTATTAGGAGAGTAAATGGGGACCTTAAAATATCATAGCAAAGAGAGTTTTCCTTGCTATTTTAAGATAAATTGCATAATAAACGCAACTTTCCTGCAGCTCAAACAATGTCGAAATCATGCATTCAGTTCCGAAAGAATGAAAAAACTTGATTTAATGTATACCTTGAATGCAATGTAAGTTGCATCGCCACATGCATAAATGGAAAATACTTATGGACGATCTAAAACTACTATGTAAACACACACCAGTACACTACTATTCATAATGCAAAGCTCCCACACCATCCCATTCAGACCATTCACTGACACTGCAAAAACATTTAAAATGGCACATTTACATATGGTCCGCCCACACAGCCTGGCAACAGCACATATTCCATATGTAAAGAGTACACAATCAAATCAGAGGGCATTTACTTCACTTCTAAGTCTTAAAGGTGCAGCAGCAAAAACAGACTTGTTAATGTAAGAAAAATGGTAACTAAGCAAAATTATGGCTTATTTAACATTATAAACTAATCATTTTACTATTATTTTTCCAGAACCCATCCCTGAGTCTCCCAACTTAATGGACTAAAACATGTCCCGCTCACCCCAGGAACATCGAGTGTTCTTCCATCTCCTCCACATCATCATGCCTCTGTTCTTCCTGTCTTCTGCAAAGATGATGAGGAGAAACCCACCCCAAAAAATGAGAACTGAACTCTCTGCTATTACGGTGGGACCCCTTATCTGGTGACGTCTGTGTCTTTCTGCTGACTGTCCTTAAATGGGTTTCCCAAGAAGGAAAATCGCACTATTTCACAAATTAGGGCACTAGGAGAGCACGATTTCACGAAGAGGATCCAAAGATTTTCTTTTGTGGCATTTGAGTTGAAAAATTGATTTCAGCTAAGCTGTTTGCACACGTTTCTGTTCATCACGTGTTTCGTGTGTCAGTCACACTGTGGTTGCACTTAAAAGACCGTTTTACTCTCTCTCTTTCTTCTGCAATCTGTCTATCCCCATCCTCACCTCCTTTCTCAATGAAACAATCAGTTCATCCGCTCTCTTCTAGAGGTCAGGATGTATTAATACCTCATTCTTCACTGCTGTTTTACCCATCTCAATAGGTATTTCCTCCATACTCAGTATGTCAGTGCCAAAGTACTCAGTTATCACTTTATCACTGAAATGGTGCCAGTGCTGGTCCCAGATGAGGTGCTTGGCTGGAAAATTTGCAGATCTCAGAACCACTTGAGAGCCGAATGAAGACGCAAATGACTGTATTTGTTTTCAAATGTGAAATAATCAATAATACAGTGTCTTTATGAAACGGGCCCAGATTGAGACCAGCACCGGCACGTTTCGGTGGAAAAGGGATGTTCTCAGTACACTCACCGTCAGACCTGCTGAGAAACAATGGGCGATTTAAAACCCTCTTGCGGTGAGTGTGGTGCTTTTATGATGTATGTAGCTTTATGATGCATTCTGTCAGAATGAGTGAATGTTACATCGGTGACAGTCAAACACAATGCCACTCTCTTGCGTCTCCAATGTCACTTGTGGCTTTAAGGGGCCTGAGGGCTATCTATTTTGTATTGATTTTTTATCTTATATGTGTGTGTGTGTGTGTGTGAGAGTGTTTACATTATTTTCCATAAAAAAAAAAAAAAAAAGAAGCAAAGAGCTGGTAAACGTTTTCAGGAAGCTTAAGAATTTAAATCCACTGCCATAAAGAATGCCAAAACTTTGCTTTGTGTATGAATGGATGGTTTGTAGGTGAATGATTGCAAATATCGTAAATGAATATGCCATTGAACCAGTTTGTACATTTGAAGTTGCACATGTGCCTGTACAAAGTGAATACCGTATATGTAGCTCCAGTGGCAATGCTGTGACACAACTGCCGATACAATAAAAAAACAATTGCTTATATCTTGTTTTATAAAAATACAAACAAATAAAAAGTTATGGTGAGAGCTGAGAGTCCTTGTGCCGTGTTTATGCAACAAATAATCTCTTCAATCACACGGAAGCGTTTGAGACAGCAGACAGTCAACCGATGGGTGACGGGGCCTCTAAACCTTTATCAGGAACTTACCCAACTTCTGCTAAAAAATAAACACTTTAACTAGGATGAAGCTGTTGTTCAAGTTAGGGTATCATCTCGGTTTAAGTGGAGTTATTTGAAAGTCAACCTATCCCTAAAATGTAGTTTCAATCTGTAGCTTTTTGAGCACTCAGCATCTATTAGATGGTTTTAGAAAGTGGATGCAGATACTAGAGGCCCAAAAGTCACACTTGATGAAAACCAGACCGTAGTGAGGTTCACAACAGGAATCAACGAGCTCTTTAGAATGCAACTTCCTGTTTCAGAAATAAGGCAGGTTGTGGTTTCCTGTTTTTGCCGTTTAGTTGTTCAGACAGGCTTTTTAAAGAGTAAATGTAGTATCTTATATTTAGAGGCAAAAAAGAAAAGATCAAGGAAAAACTTGTGATGTATTAATGTACAGGTGGGATTTTATTGAATCCACTGGGATCTAACTGGATCTTGAAATGTAGGCTAATATATTACTTTTCTTCACCCATGTGGCCTTGGTGAATAAATTAGAGGTGGAGATTATTTTGATGATAGATTACAAAGAAAAAACAGACTGCCAACACACAAACACTTACTGATAAAGGCGCCATTCCATCATCTTCCACAGTCACAGTGAGTGTGTACTGCTGCTGTTTTTCTCTGTCAGGAGGTGACGGACGGGTCACTATCTCTCCCGTCATACGGTCCATTCTGAAGGTCAGGTCTTGGTTCCCACCGGTGATGTAGTATGACAGCATGGCATTTGGTCCGATGTCACGATCTGTTGCTATGACACGCAGGACCGACGTACCACCACCCACATTCTAAAACACACATAGATATACCCAGTGTTATTTCAGTCATGTTTCATATATGTGACCCTGGACCACAAAACCAGTTATAAGGGTCAATTTTTCGAAATTGAGATTTATACATAATCTGAAATCTGAATAAATAAGCTTTCCATTGATGTATGGTTTGTTAGGATCTGGAATCTGAGGGTGGAAAGAAATCAAAATATTGAGAAAATCGCCTTTAAAATTGTCCAAATGAAGTTCTTAGCAATGCATATTACTAATCAAAATTTAAGTTTTAATATATTTACAGTAGGAAATTTACACAATATCTTCATGGAACATGATCTTTACTTAATATCCTAATGATTTTTGGCATAAAAGAAAAATCTATTATTTTGACCCATACAATGTATTTTTGGCTATTGCTACAAATATACCCCAGCGACTTAAGACTGGTTTTGTGGTCCAGGGTCACATATTAGAGTTCCTCCCTTTGTTTTTAAAAATATTTTTTTGTCTTTACTAGCATAGGACAGTGTAGAAGTGACAGGAAATGAAGTGGGAGGCGAGACGATTGGAAAAGGACCTCGAGCCGGGATTTTAACTCGAGACGCCCATAGCGCAACGGCGCTATATGACGGCACGCTACCAATGAGGCTATCGGCGCCCACGATTTCCTCCTTCTTGGCTATTAATTACTAGGTTAAATTATTATATATAATAAAAATATAATAAAATGTATGTGTAATATATAATAAAATTACAGCAAATTATATAAATCTAAATAATAAGTCATATTAAAAGTGAAATAGTCTTTAAAATATTTTAAAACATTTTTATTAAATTATTATAACTAACTAAATAACTATCTTGAAATTTTAATAATAATAACAATAAATTATATATATATATATATATATATATATATATATATATATATACATATA